TTTTTTTGGCGAAATTTAGCCACAAAATGTCTAATAGAGGTGGGAAAGAAGATAGATAGAGAGATAGCAGTACCTTGGGGATTGAGGGTAGGAGCGGGAAGGAAGGCGGAAGCCGGCCCATATTGCGCCGACGCTGGAACACCACGCGCCAGCTGAAAACACACAAAGAACGACGTGTGGATCTAGGTGAAATTCACTCCAAGCACCTCTGACCGCCGCCTTGACGACCACAATTCATCAGTAGAAAACACATATAGAACATATACATGATTTGTATTGTGCTTTTTCTCATAGGTTTAGATTGGTTAGTGTGATAGATTGGATGAGAGTGCTTAAGAAATATATGCTACTTCAAAAACACCACAAATATTCCTTTAGTGAGCTTATGTAGTGTATATCAAGCTAAATTGTTTATCCATTCGAATTTGAACTACTATATCTATCCTACGAATAAGCAATTCTTTTCGGGTTCTTTGACTGTTCATAGTGGATCCAATGAAAAATAATCAAGGTGGACACTAGAAGAGAACCCATCCTTTTTTAGTCGAAGGTGTTAAGCTTTAACTAGAGTTTACAAGTCTAAATATTTACAAACTGGCCATCAACTCGATCAGATATAGGTTTGTGTAACCCTTTACAACGACAAAAACAACAGGTCTCAATTTCAGTCGACTTTTTAGAGGTGATGTGTGATTGAATGTGAGCGCGTCAAACGCTATTCATTTGCTGTGTTTAAGTAATAACCAAGGGCTCACTAAAAGAATTTTGAGGTGGAAATACTAAAATACTCCCATCCACCATCCAACTTTTCTAAAACTGGGAAAGATATCCCATGATTATTGGTAAAGTTGGTAATGATTATGAGCAAGTATAGTTGTAAATAGCCGTACAAGCTTCATAGCCAGTTTAGTAAATTATAAAATACGCTTACTGAAGTAGTGGATTTAAATTTTTAGTCATGTTCGTACGTTTAGCAGAACATTGATCGCATGCGTTTCACTAGATCAGAGAACATCGGGAAGAAGTTTTCGGAAAGTGCCGGGAAAGCTGGCCAGAAACGTCATATCATGGCAATCATTGAATGTAACTTCTACCAATCACTGTTCATGCGAATGCAACACGAAAATAGCAGGGAAAAGCGGGGATTATCACATTGCTAACCTCATGGGAAATGTAAATAAATAGAGTTAACAAAAATTGCTGACAAAACAACAACAGACAACATCGTGTTAGGAAAACGCACCTCAGGAGGGAAAAGTTGTGCGAGTTGTGCTTGTTGCAACAAATTTGGTTGCAACAATGCGGCCAACTGTTGCTGTTGAGCTGCAGCAGCGGCTGCAGCTGAACTGGCTACCAACAGCGAGTTGAACGTCGGTTTTGGCCGATACGGTAGTGTGGCACCTTTGGGCGGAGCCTAAACTTGTCACATTTTAGGGTAGTCATTTTGTTTTACTTAGCATTGGCATTTTTTCTTATTCAATCTAAAATAAAAATTTTGCTGTAATTGTGCTGTTTCATGGTCCCATTATCAATATATTATGTTGCAGATGGACTTCAGCTATTTTATCTTTATTGATGTGATAATGAAAAAAGTCTGTTGAAGAAAATTATTACTCTGCAAAAACGAGCACGTTCTAAATCCATCCATCTTGAACTACAAACACTTACTGTGCTTATCTACGTGAGACGTTGTTTTGTAAATCTCATAATGGAAAAAGCCCCCCGTACAGGGTGCAAGGCGCGTGTGCTGAGTGCTGCTGAAGAAGGAGAAATTGGAAGAAAGCATTGCTTGGAAGGCAATAGAATTACGGAGCGAATTGAGTATGGGCAAGATTGCCACCTTCTTGATGAGAAACGACAAATGGTAATGGACATCCATCAGCACATTAAATGGTGGGCGAATGAATATAAGGAATAAAATCAAATTTTTGTTGATTAATGAAAAGTTCGATTTGGTTCCTTTCCTTAGAGGCAAGCCATTGAGAAGAGAAATTTTACAGAATAAAGAGACGTCTCATGCGTCAGATAAGCAAAGCTCAAACGTTGGGCGATCCAATTTTTCAAACTTGGAAAGTTTTAGAAGTGTTTGGTTGGAAAATTAGCCACACTTTCCTTTGTTTAATCATTCATTCACTTATATTCACTCAACTTGTGTTTCGCTTTGCTAGAGTGATCTTTCTTATGAAGACGAAATGAAAAGGGAACATTCTTTTACCGCTTGTTTGAAAAAAGGGTTCAGCTCAAATAAAAATCAGTTGTTAATATCCCCTTTAGTTTTCTCTTCAACCATGGGATAATGTAACTATTGAGTGAGACAACTAGTACTTACCTCTAGCAATATTTGGCAGACTTGTCCAATACACAGATTGATTGCATCTGCCGTACCTGAGACGGTGACGGCACGTTCTGTGGATTGTGGTAACATTTCTGATGCAACTTGAATCGATGCCCCAGTTGCCTAGAAAACAGCTCGATTAGCTTGAATTTTTAATTAAAAAAAGGCGCTTCACTATTTGGTAACCAGTTGTGAGAGGTGAATTATGATGTACTTGACTCGATCATTGGGCAAAGCAATTGTTTTTCAAGG